CCAGATTTAATTCTATCGGGGCTTTAGCTTTCCTAATCTGATCCCTGGCTGCTCGGACAATTTCTCTGTATTCCTCCCAGGCCACCTGTCCTTGCTTCCACCCTCTGTAGGCTTCCTTTTTGTGCTTGAGTCTGTCCAGGAGCTCCTTGTTCATCCATGCAGGCCTCCTGGCGTTCTTGCCTGACTTCCTCTTTGTTGGGATGCATCGCTCCTGAGCCTGGAGGACGTGATCCTTGAATATTACCCAGCTTTCTGGGTAATATTACCCAGAATATTACCCAGCTTATCTGAAGGTCTACCATGGCATGCTCACCTATAAACCGTTATCTCTCCAAAAAACATACACAGCAACTAATGGTAATGCTGATAGCCTAGAAAAGCAAGGACCAGGGGCTAGAAATACCTCTGCTGCCTGTACACTTAATTTGCATCAAACATGCTCGTGGCTAGGCAGCTAAGCAGCAGCATAAGCGGGCTGTGTCGGCGACAGGGCAGAGCCACTGCACACAGCATGCCAAAGCCACCCCAGAGGGGACGGACTCCCTGCACCGCATCTAAACATGCCCCACACATGCTGGCAGACGAAGATGTAGATGGTCACGACAGGTCGGGGAGCCTGGCAGCCTCTGAGGAAAAGGACCAGACATTTCTTAAGAGCCCCTTAACTCAAAAATTATCTACTGACTCTGAAAACCTGAGCTGGGGGAGTCTGCACGACGGAAATCTGCGCAAAGACTCCAGAACTGGTTCAGACACCAAGTTTTCTCCAGCACTTCAGAGATTTTAATTCCATCTCTGTAACATGGAATTAACTCTGCACCCGTAACCCACAGCCCAAGACCCATTCAAAGTCCCACCCCAGCATCTGTTGCAGAAGCACCCACCAGTGCTACCTGCATCCCAAGCACCAGGAGAAGCTCAAGAATCAGACCTGCCATGTTCAGGCTTAGATTTAACAAGCCCCTGCTAAGCACAAAGCTGAATGAGATCACATCTGGTCCAGGGCCAGAAAGTAATGGTGCAGTAATGGTTTTATCGGCTTTTTGAGAAGGAGCTGTTTGATTTCAGAGAGAGAGAGGAGAGTCAACAGCAACGTTCGCTGCTGCTAATCTCATTTCCAGAAGCATGCTGAGTGAGAAGGCGCTTGGGTACAAAGCTTTGCTCGATTGCTCTCTCTTTATCTAGAATTACATTAGGAGCCCAAGACACATCTGAAAACAGCCCATGGCAAGAACCAGGGTTTTGCAAATGGCTTCTGCAGCATCAGGTTTGCGGGAAGAGATATTCCAGTGTTTCCAGCAAGTTGTTGGCTGGTTGGCAGCCAGTTTGCTCGGTACAAGTGCTTCAGAATTAACAGAATAGATGTGCAGGAAGGGGAAGATTTAAAGATGTAAAAATAGCTCCTTTTTGTAAAAGAGATTTAGATGTGCGAGTTTTAGACGTGCAAATTTAAGACAGTGACGAAGCAAGCGCTGCAGCTAACAAGTGTTGATTAGATAATCTGGTTAATTTAAAATAATGTATTTACCTTAAGCAAGAAGAAATCAAATGCGGAAGGGTGAATTTGGCCTGGGTGAAGGGCCTTTGTAAGGGGAAAACTACAGCAGAAGTTAGTCTGACGACGATCTGCCCCGCTTGTCCACAAAATAGTTACTTTAAGAACCAAATTACCACTGAATCTGGTATAACAGCTCTTTATTTCAGTGTCTACAACACAAAGAGAGGGCTTGCATTTTGACACCAGAACCATGCAAAGCACCTATACACTGAGGACAAGATATTGAACGTGTCTCTCTCCTGCTACATGTGGAAAATTTAGGCAGGAAGACTGTCTTCCTGTGCATTCTGCTCTATCCTTCCACAGATCAACCAGCTGCGAGGGGTGATAATTAACCTTCATTCCAAATCAAATAATTTGCCACTGAACAGTATTCCACGCTGCCCTAAGCTGCTCAAATATGCGTCTGTAAACTTCATCAAGGACCCAGTTCTGCTCTCGATTTACAAGGATGAAGTCCCAAACATCTCCTGCTACAGGAACAGACTTTAATCCAAGGTCCTGGATTAATGGAGAGCAGAATTTGACTCAAAGGACGAACATCTCCATACAGAGGCCCAGAAAAGGCCCGTATTAATGTCCCAGACAGAGGGATGTAGAGACCGCCCTAGGCTCAGAAAATTGGCATGTGCACAGAGGACAACTAGACATCCTGAACTATTAAAAAACAGTGGTATAGAAAAATAAAAGGCATAAAATACTGAACCAAAAAGGTTCCAAATAAGGCATCAGCAGGTCCCGACTGGATGCGCTCCCGTTACATGCATCACCCTTCCTGCCAGGGTGGTTAAGAAGGATGCATTAGGATTGTATTTCTGACCTCAATCACTGAGCACTACGAGCAACCAGAAGGGTTCAAGTTCTGTTCAAAAAAAGGAAAAAAAACCCAAAACACAAAACGAGGAATATTCTTTTTGGTAAGTATTTCTTAGAAAATAAAAGTGTTAAAGCAATTTGTTTAAATGATTCTTTAAAAAAAGACAACATTCCTGTAAAGTAAAAATATATATATATAGAAATAGAATATAATTTTTTGTTGTTTTTTAAAAAAGACATTCAGTATCACATCAGCGGATTCTGATCAACTTCGCGTCCGTCTCCTGTGATAACCGCTGCTCGTTAAGGCAAAACGTCAGGTTGGCACCGTTACAACAGCTGAATCAAACTGGCCGAAGGCGACGCAGAGCAGGCAGCGTGCTGGTGTCAGCGAGGCTGCTTCTCCCGCACGCTGACC